TTCTAACTGCTTCCTTCAATGCAACTTGTGCCTCTCTCTTATTTCCTTGTATACTATGAATATATGCCAAATTTGCCCAACTTTGTCCATCATCTGAGTCTAAATTAACTCCTTTTAAAAATGCCTTTTTAGCTCCTGCAATATCGGAAATTTGCATACAACAAATTCCTAATGCAAACCAAAGTCTTTGATAAATAGGATTAATTTCTAATGCAATATCAAAATGTTTCTTTGCTTCTTTCCATTCTTTTTTATTAAAATAATATTGTCCAAGAATACGTTCCGCATGAACATATGTATGATTAGATTCTTCCCAACTTTCTATAAGATATTTTGGATCGTTAGTAATTTCATACATTAAAACTTTTAATTCGGGGTCTTTATTTCCTTCTGCAAGTAATTCTCTTGCAACTTCTTCTGCTTTTTCTTTTTCATTCATTGAAACATATGCAGCTACAATTTCAATCTTCATATCAAGTCCTGAAAAATAATTAATTGCTGCTCCTGACTCTCCCATTAATAACATTCTCATTCCTGTTTCTTTTCTTAATGAAAAAATATTAGGAATCATTGTCATATAAATACTTTCTAATCGTTCTTCACTTGAAATTTCTTCTTCTCCTTTTTCCATCATTTTAACAAGATCATCTGCTTGTTTGACTGACCTCCACAAAAAATGTGTTACTGTTGCTTCATATCTTGATTTTAATAAAACACTCATAATAAATGTACTAAAATCTATTCTATCTCTTAATACCCTATTACAATATGGAATTACTTCTTCTAAAATAAGTTCACTTTTACAATTTTTCCTATATCTATTCATACATTCCATTAATACATATGCTTCATCATATGTTGATAATGGTGTATATCCAATATCTCCTGAATAATCCGTTTGTGATAACATATCATTATCTTCTTCTAATTCCGTTTCTTTTAACTTTGTTTCACACTTTTGTCGTTTAATTTCACTTACTGGATGTGGTCTTCGTTCAACTCTAACATATAATTGTGCTGTTTCCTTTTCTTGATATTTTGTTCTCTTTCCCATTGCTCCACTTAATTCAACAAATATTTTTTCTTCTTGACTTATTTTATTTAGTTGTTCTTTAACCATTCGATATTGTTCTGATACCCACAACCCAACACAAACTTCATTATTCATTTTAAATTTTATTCTTTCATACAATGTTTTATTTATTTCTTCTTTGATGTTTTCTAGTTCTTTTAATCCATCTCTATACCCACATCCAATTCTTGTAACCAATGACTCTCCTGGATTTTCTAAGACTCTTTGATGAATCATTGCTTCTCTTCCTATAAACAGATTTATTAATTGTTTCTTTTTACCTTTTAATACACCAAATATTTTAGCTGATGTATGTAACCATAATGAATTTACAATATGTTTATTTGCTTGTTCTCCATCAATACTTAAATATTCTACTTCTTTCTTTGATTCTCCTTCAACTTCTAAATTAAATGGTCCAACAAAATTCATTCTAACAAATCCATTTAATAATGTCACTCCAATTATTAATTTCTCAATATCCTCAATATCTGTTGTTGGAACTTCTTTGTATTGAATGTTTTCATACTCCTTCATCATTCTATATACATCACCCTTTAATGCTATTTCAATTTTATGACTTAACCTTTCATTTACTAGAGGTGTTTGATACATTTCATGTAACACATTTGGATGTCTCCCATCAAGGAGTGCAAGTGAAACAATGGTTTCTTCCATTCAGTTGATTTGATTATTCAGTTATTCTCTTATTATCTGCTTCTTGATGATGTGAAGACCACGTAGACTATTTCGTTTAAACATGACTTATTCATGTCTAAACCCTAATTTTCCCAAAAGAGAGAAGTAGAAGTGGAAAGAAAAATCTTAAAGAAAAAGATATAACGAGAATTTCATTCTTAACAATTCATATTTATGGACGTCCAAACTGAAGTTGAAACACTAAGTGCAATTTATGGAGATAAAGTAAGTTATGAAAATAATGTTCTTTCATGTACTATTGAAGAAACAGTTGATGAAAATCTTCAAATAGTTAAAGGTGAAATAACAATTAAATTTAGTATACCAGAAGATTATCCAGAAACACACCCAACATTTGTTCTTGAAACAGAAGAAGATTTTATTGGTCAAAAAATCGAAAGAATAGAAAAAAACATTGAACAAATAATTGAAGAAGAATTTACGTGTTTATTTGAACTTGTAGATCATGTTAAAGATATGCTTATTGAAATACTTAAAGAACAAGTAATATTTTTAAATGAAGAAATAGTAAGAAAAGAAAAAGAAGAGGAACGAGCAAGAGAAAGAGAATTTATAGGAACAACAAAGAAAACATTTGAAGAGTGGTGGAAAGATAAAGAGAAAGAAAGAAAAATCACACTTGAAAAGATTAAAAAAGAGAAAGAAGCCGAAATGAATAGAAAGAAAGGACGAATGACAGGGAAAGAATTCTTTATGAATAATCCAAGAATGGCAGAACAACTTAAAGAAGAAAATAAAGAAGAAGAAGAAGACAAAGTCGAAGAAACACTTAAAGAACAAGGAGTAGATTTAGAGATGTTTACAGAAGAATTAGATATTTAAATGAATAATAAAGAAGAAGAGAAAAATTCGAGAGAAGAATTGGTTGGTTCATTTTAAGAGAAATCAAAATAAAAGGAAATAAAAATAAAAATAAAAGAACTAATTAATAAGGAAATAATAATAATAAAAAAAAACAAGAATGGAAGCAACAACAAATACACAAAGTGATTATACATTTAAAATATTAATTATAGGAGAATCAGGAGTAGGAAAAACAGCAATATTAGAAAGGTATTGTGAAAATATATTTAATGAATCATTATTATCAACGGTTGGAGTTGATTTTAAATCGAAATATTTTACAATAGAAGGGAAAAGAATTAAAGTACAACTTTGGGATACTGGTTTGTTAATAAATGATAAAATTGAAAGAAAAATAAAATATAATAAATAGCTGGACAAGAAAAATTCCGAAATATTACTACATCATATTATCGTGGAACACATGGATGTATTGTGACATATGATGTTACAGACATCAATAGTTTTGATAAAATAACATATTGGTTACATGAATTAGGAAATGAAAAATATCAACCAGAAATTATTATTTTAGGAAATAAAATAGACGCAAGAGATAGAAAAGTTACAAAAGAAATGGCAGAGAATTTTAGTAGACAAAATGGAGGAATAAAAGTATTTAATTGTAGTGCAAAAACAGGAGAAGGAGTTGAAGAAGTATTTACAGAAATAGTTAAATCGATATTTAAAAATAAAAGTATAATGGGAAGAATGAGAACAAATACAGGAATGAGGATGGAAGAAGTACAAGAAAAACAGAAAGAAAAAGAATGTTGCTAGAAAAAATAAATTGAAAGATTTTGTTATATATTTCGAAAAGAAAAGAATAAAAAAAAAATAATAAAAGAATAAAAAAAGAAGAAAACCCTAAAAAAAAAGAAAAAAGAACTTAAATAGACAAAAAGAAATGGCAGAAGTAATCTTATATGAAAGTCCTATTGGATATGGATTATTTAAAGTAAAAGAGAAAGAAGAAATAGGAAAAGGAGAAGAATTTGAGAAATCCATAAATAATTTTGGGAAATTTTCAAAGATAATAGGATTAGAAGCATTTGTAGAATTTAAAACATCGGAAGAATTACTTGAAAATATTAATGCGATATCAGAAGGAGCACTTCATGAAACATTAAGGAAATTTTTAGAAGAAAATGTTAAAAAGAGAGTATTAGGAATAGTTGATGAGAAATTAGGAAGTGCAATTAGTGAAGCAATGAAAATTAAATGTACAAAAGGAAAAGAAGTAAATAGTGTTATTAGAGGGATTAGAACACATTTTAGTAAATATTTAAAAGATATTACAAATGAAGATCTTAGAACAGCTATGTTAGGACTTGGACATAGTTATTCAAGAAATAAAGTTAAATTTAATGTAAATAAACAAGATACTATGGCAGTTCAAGCTATATTTTTATTAGATCAAATGGAAAAAGACATGAATACATTTAGTATGAGAATTAAAGAATGGTATTCATGGCATTTTCCAGAATTATATAATATTTTAAATAATGATAATACTAAATTTGTTAAATCAGTATTAATCATTCAAAACCGACATTCAATAGATGATAAAAAGAAAGAAGAATTAATTAAAATTACGGATGAAGAAACAGCAGAAGAAATCATTAAAGCAGCTAATTCATCAATGGGATTTGATGTTAATGAATTTGACCTTCAAAATATTAAAAGATTTGCAGAACGAGTAACAGAATTATATGAATATAAACAAAGACTACAAGAATATCTTCATTCCAAGATGACAACAATTGCACCTAATTTAACAGCATTAATAGGAGATAGTGTTGGAGCAAGATTACTTTCTAAGGCAGGAAGTTTAACTAATTTAGCTAAATATCCAGCAAGTACACTTCAAATTTTAGGAGCAGAAAAAGCATTATTCCGAGCTATTAAAACAAGAGGAAATACACCTAAATATGGAGTTATTTTTGGGTCAACATTTATTGCAAGAGCAGAAGCTAAGAATAAAGGAAGAATTAGTAGGTTTGTTGCTAACAAAGCATCTACAGCAGCAAGAATCGATTGTTTTGGAGAAGTTTCTACTGATAGATTTGGAGAAGCTATGAAAGAACAAGTTGAAGAACGAATGGAGTTCTTAAAGAATGGAAAAGTTCCTAAGACAAACACGGATGTAATGGAAGAAGTTATGAAAGAACTTCATTGGAATGAAGAAGAAGGAAAGAAAGAAAAAATCAAAGAATCTGAAGAAAGCACAACAAGTGAATCTGAAAGTGGATCAACATCGGAGGAATAAAAAGAATTAATTGATTGCAAAGAAGAAATTGTTTTTAATAGAGTTTTTTTTCATAACAAAGATAAATAGAAACTTAAATTTCAAAGAAACAAAGAAATGAGTGAAGGAACAAATAAGGCGTCATTTCTTATTATTGAAGATAAAAAACAAGACTATCCTAAGGTTAAAGAAATAGGAGAAGTGAAAAAAGGATTTACACATAAAGTAGAACGTAGTAATGTTCTTTCAAGAGCAGAACTCTTTCTACCCATGTTCAAAGAATCAAATAAGTATGTTAAACAAGGGGAATGTGAACCAGAAATTCAAGAAAATCACACAGGACAAGAAGAAAAGAAAGAAGAGAAAGAAGGAAAATGTTATGTAGAAATGAATGTTGCTGTTGGGATATTAGAAGAAAAGAAGAATGAAGAAGAGAGTTCGGAAGAAGAAGAAAAGATGATAGAAGAGCTTTGAAAGATTAATAGAATGGTTTTTGTAAAAGTTCCAAAAAATAACAATAATAAAAAAATAACAAAAAAAATAACAAAAAAATAAGAAAATAAACTACAAGAACTTAAAAAGAAAGCAAGAAATAATATATATTAAGTTGAAGAATGACATCATATCAAAAAACTAATGAGACAGGTAAATGTGAAATGTGTAATAAAGAAATTAGAGGATTTCATCATCTGTATAAATGTCCAAGTTGTGGGTTTGGAGTTTGTTCTGACTGCTTAAAAAAAGGACCTACATGTCGATGTAATCATGGAATACCACCACTCACAGAAGAACAAGAAAGAAAAATGAATGTATTAATGGAAATGGGATTTCCTGATTATATTTGTATATTTGCATTAAGGAAATATAAATGGAATGTTGAAGAAAGTATTCCATGGATTATTGATAATCTTCGAACATTTCCAAAACCAGAAAGTCAAGAAAATAAAAGAGAAGAAGAGAAAGAAGAAAAAGAAACAGATGAAGGATTAGAATATGTAGAAGATGAAATGAAATGGAAAGAAAAAGTGGAAGAAGGAGGAATTATTGAAAAGAAAAGAAAAGGAATAAATAATAAAAGAATAAAAGAAGAAAAAGAAGAAGAAGAATGGCATGAAGATGTATTTGATGATGAATTATATGGCAATGGAGAAAAGGATAGAGGAGATCCAAGAATAGAGAAATGTTATGAAGTTATTGAAGCAAAAGATATTATAAAAATGATTAGAGACAGTTGTGAAAAAGAATCTGAAGCATTAAATATTAGTCCAGGGAATGTCTCAATATTATTAAAACGATATGGATGGTCAAAAGATAAATTAGAAGAAGCATATTTTGAGAATTATGAGAAAGTTTGTAAAGAAAATGGAATAATTAATGGAGAAATTAAAGAATGTAAAGAAAAAACATGTCCAATTTGTTATGAAGAAGGAGTAGTGATTAGTTTAAATTGTGGACATTATTTTTGTATAAAATGTTGGGAAGAAAGAATTAAAACGATGATTGAAAGTATAGGAAGTAATGTAGTTGATTGTTTATGTATGGAACAAGGATGTACATGTAAAGTTAATTATGAAATTATAGAAAAAATAGGAAATAAAAAAATATATGAAAGATTTATGTATTTTATTTGTAAAGACTTTATTAGTCATAGAAAAAGTTATGTATTTTGTCCAGTAGATACATGTGGAAGAGCAATTCATTATTTTGATACATCTAGAAATGAAGTACCAATTATTTGTAAATGTGGACAAAAATTTTGTTTTAAATGTGGAAGAGAAATGCATAAACCAGTGTCATGTTCAGAATTTATGAAATGGAATGATTTAGTAACAAATGACACAGAAAGTATGAAATTTGTTAATACTATTTCTAAACCATGTTTTCATTGTGGATTATATACTGAAAGAGTTGATGGATGTAACCATATGACGTGTTCACGATGTCATGGGGAATGGTGTTGGATGTGTCGAGGGGATTGGAAAACACATGGATCACAAACAGGAGGATTTTATAAATGTAATTTATATGAAAAATCAGAAGCTAAGAAATTAGATGAACAAGCACAAAAATTAAAAGAAGAAAATAAAAAGTTTTTAGAATATTTTGATGAATATATTAAATATAATAATATAATAAGAGAAATTACTAAACAAGAAGATGTATTATATAATATAGAAATAAATATTGAAAAAAGTACAGGAAAATCAAATCCAGAAATATTAGAAGCAGCAGAAATTTGTAAAGAAGCATATAGTGTTATTAAATATTCATTTGTATTTGAATTTTTTATTAAGGATTATGAAATAATTTATAAATTATTTAATTTCCGTCAAAAGAAAGATATTGAACGAGTAAATGAATTAAGAGAGACATTAAAAAAGATAGAATTAACAGGAATAGTAGATATTCAAAAAATAAGACAATTAATAGAAAATGTCAAAAAAGTTACAGAATCACTTTCTGATGTATCTACAGAAAATCTTATGAAAAATAGATTTGATGAAGTAAAAAAGAAGAAAAGAAAAAATTAAAATATACATACACAATAATTAAATCAATTTTTCATTAAAATCATAGCACCAACACTTACAACTCCAAAAATTACAAAAAGTATTGTTATTGTACAACATAATTGATCTGGTCCTCTTACATGTTCTAATATTCTTTTTAATTTTATATTTTTTTCATCTAAATGAGAAATTTGTTTATTTACTTTTTTTGTTATTAATTCAATTTTCATATCTTGTTCATCTACTTGTTGATTAAGACTAGTAGCAACTTCTTTTAAATCTTTAACTCCTTCATGAATTATACTTAATTTATTATCAATGTTTTTATCATTTTCTTCAATCTCTCTAATTCGTTTATCATCACTTTCTGGAAGTGAACCAACACTAAATTCTTCAATTCCCTTAATATGAAAATGTTCTTCAATTTGTATTCCTCTTTTAGCAATCATTTTCATTGTTTCAATTTCATCTTCTACTGTTTTTAATGAAAGTCTATATTCAATTAATTTTTCATCATTTTGATTTTTCTTTTTTAATTGTTCTGTTGCATATTCTTGATATTCCTTTCTTAATTCTTCATACATTATATCAATACTTTTAATTTTCCTTTTAATTTCTATAGTAAGCTGAACCACTGAAGTACATTCTTCTTTTGCTTCTTCTTTTACACGAAGATCACATAATTTCTCAACATCACAAACTTGAAGATAAATCATTTGTCTTTTCTTTGTGAATGAATCAATATTTCCTTCTTTTTCCATATCATTTAATTCAATTTCATTTAATGAAAATCCACAATCTTCTACTATAATTTTAAGTGTTGTTTCTAATCTATTCATTGAATTAGCAATGAGTCAATATCTTAAATGAAAGTGTCTTTTCTTCTCATAATGTTATACTCAACATACTTAAAATCCAAATTGTATGAAAATAACTTCTAAAAATAGAAAGATTAAGAAAAGTGAAAAAAACCCTTTGAACTGAAAAAAATAAGAAAGAATGATTATTCCAGTACGATGTTTCACATGTGGGAAAGTAATTGGAAATAAGTGGGAAAAATTTCTTGAATTAGCCACTGGAGGAAAGGTTCCAATGGACCAAGTTTTTAGTGAGCTTGGGATTGAAAGATATTGCTGTAAACGAATGTTAGTATCACACGTTAATTTGATTGGGTTCTTATCAATGTATGATTTGCCATCAGAAAGTCTAAAGAAAGCATAATTGAGATTGTATTAGAAATATTTAAGGTTTTATAAAAGAGAATAATTTTATTAATAAGAAAAACTAATAAATAGAAAGATGGAAAGTCATAAACGAAAACGATCTAATTCTAGACATAGAAGTAGTACTGAAACAGAAAAAAGTCAATATAGAAAATTAGGAAGAGAATGGGGAGATGCTACATATGTTAAAATTTTAAGAAAAGAAGAAATTCATAAGAAAGAAGAAAATGATATACTTGAATTTTATGATGAAGAAATTAATGACCAACAACATCAGGAAGTTGAATTATATGAATTACTTAATAAAAAAGAAGAAGGTGATAAATGGGTTGAAAACCAATTACAGGCATCAGGAATTATTAAACAAAATAGAGAAATTAAAGAAGAAGTTGAAGATATTGAAGTTATTGTTAAGAAAATTATTCCACAATTTATGGAAGGGAAGCATAATAAATTAGAAGAAGCAAAAATTGTTGTTCCAATCAAAGATCCAAGTAGTGATATTGCAAAATTAATAAAAAGAGGAAGTGAGACATTAATTAAATTTAAAGAAAGGAAAGAAAGACAAAAAGGTAGTAGAGAGATAATAGAAAGTGAAAGTATATTAAAGAAAATAATCAAAAAGGAAGAGAGAGAAGAAGAAGAAGAAAAAGAAGATATAAGAGAAGAGAGAGAGGAAAAAGAAATGAATAGAATGGAAAAACGAAGAGAAATTAAAAGAAATCGAGAAGAATTACCAATATTTTTTAAGAAAAAAGAAATTATAACAAGTATTAAAGAAAATCAAATTAATATTATTATTGGAGAAACAGGAAGTGGTAAAACTACACAAATTGCACAATATATAGTTGAAGAAGGGATTGGAAAACATGGGAGAATTGGATGTACTCAACCAAGAAGAGTTGCAGCAGTAAGTGTTGCACAAAGAGTTAGTGAAGAAGTTGGAAGTAAATTAGGAGAAGAAGTTGGGTATCTTATTAGATTTGAAGATAAAACAAGTAAAAAAACAAAAATCAAATTTATGACGGATGGAATATTATTAAGAGAAGTAATTAAAGATCCAACGTTAGAAGAATACAGTGTTATTATAATGGATGAAGTACATGAACGAAGTCTTAATACGGATATTTTATTTGGTATTATAAAAAGAATTATTCAAGAAAGAAATGACCTTAAATTAATTATAACAACAGCTACTATTAATGAAAATAAATTAATAGAATTTTTTGGGATAGTTCCTATTATTCATATTGAAGGAAGAACATTTCCTGTTAGTGTTCAATATCTTAAAACAACACCAAATGATTATATTGAAATGGCAATAAGACAAGTACTTTCCATTCATATGAATCAAGGAAAAGGAGATATTTTAGTATTTATGACAGGACAAGAAGATATTGAAGTAAGTTGTGAATTACTCAAAGAAAAATATAAAGAAATAAAAGTAGAAAATAAGCAAGACATAGAAATTATTCCTATTTATTCTCAATTATCCAATGAAGCACAAAAAAAAATATTTATTAAAAGTAATAAGAGAAAAGTAATTATTTCAACAAACATTGCAGAAACATCATTAACAGTACAAGGAATTAAATATGTTATTGATAGTGGATTAGGAAAATGGAAAATATATAATCCAAAGATAGGTATGGATTCGTTACAAATTTTTCCAGAAAGTAAACAAAATGCAGAACAAAGAAAAGGAAGAGCTGGAAGAACAGAAGCAGGAATATGTTATAGG